TTCAACTTTGATGCGACAAATAATATGGCTGAGTATGAAGCTCTGCTATTGGGTCTACAACTAGCATTAGAGTTGAAAATTAGTGCAATTCAAGTGTACAGTGACTCCCAGCTCGTGGTGAACCAAATCAACTCTATTTGCGAAGTTGTTGATCCTGTAATGATGAAGTATGTAGCCTTGGTGGCCGAGCTGAAGTGCAAATTCCAGAAATTCTGGCTGAGTAAAATCCCCCGAGCTGAGAACGAATAGGCAGATTCACTCTCTAAGTTTGCCTCTGATAGCTCTCTAAGCTCCAGATCCGTTTTTGTAGAGGTCTTAGATGAACCAAGCTTCACGAAGCCTCGGGTGATGGAAATTAGCACAAACCCTGACACGCCAAGCTGGACTGATTCAATTGCCTCCTTCTTACGAGATGGGATAGCGCCTGAGGACAGGCAAGAGGCAATGAAATTGAGGAAGAAAGCATCTCGGTATACACTTGTTGATGGAGTCCTGTATAAGAGATCTTTCTCACTTCCTCTTCTACGGTGTTTAAACCCCTATGAAGCTGAATACGCACTTCGAGGGGTGCATGAAGGTGTCTGTGGGAGCCATGTTGGTGCTAGGACTCTCGCTCACAAAGTCTTAAGGCAAGGATACTACTGGCCAAACATGTACAGAGATGCCACCTACTTTGTTCAGAAGTGCCCGAAATGTCAATTCTTCGCACACCTGACTCATCAGCCAGCAGAAGAACTCACGAACTTGGTAGCACCGTGGCCATTTGCTCAGTGGGGACTAGATCTTTTAGGCCCATTTGTGAAAGGGGTTGGTGGTGTAACTCATCTGATAGTTGGTGTGGATTATTTCACAAAGTGGGTTGAAGCTCGGCCTTTATCTAGTCTTACCTCTAAGAAGGTCGAAGATTTTGTTTTCGGTTCGATCATCTGCAGATATGGGATCCCAAATCAGATCGTGGCCGATAATGGAACCCAATTCAATTGCTCCTCCTTTCGAGATTTCTGCTCCAGTTATGGGATCAAGTTACAGTTCACCTCCGTTTACCATCCGGAGTCCAATGGCATGGTGGAATCTGTTAACAAATGCATTTTGGAAGGTATAAGGCCGAGATTGGAGCAGCATAAGGCCAAGTGGGCAGACGAGCTCAACAATGTCCTCTGGGCATACAGAACCACGAGCCGAACTGCCACAGGTACTACTTTAAACCGAGTTTATTTGATTAATTTCTATA